GGCATACTCCTCTCAGGGTTAGCCTGAAACCCTTCAAAATCCCTTTGGTCTACACATTCTGGCCACAGTTTCTTCCAAGCAGAGTTCACAATTGAGGATATTAAAGTGCTCTCTCCAAAACTCTCTTAGAGTCAGTTGAGTTTCTGAGGTCACTACAAAGCACCTTTCAAACAGAGCTTTTGTGTACAGTTTTTTGAAGTTTGCAATAACCTGCTAGTCCATGGGCTGCAGGAGAGGAGTGGTATTAGGAGGCAAAAACTTCACCTTAATGAAGCTCATGTCCCCATAAAGTCGCTCTGCCAAGTCTGTAGGATGACCAGGGGCATTGTCTAACACCAGGAGGCACTTAAGGTCTAATTTCTTTTCAGTTAGGTAATCTTTCACATTGGGGGCAAATGCATGGTGTAACCAGTCATAGAAAAAGTCCCTAGTGACCCATGCCTTACTGTTTGCCCTCCACAGCACACACAAATTAGCCTTGAGGATATTCTTTTGCCTGAACGCTCTGGGAGTTTCTGAGTGATACACTAATAAAGGCTTCACTTTGCAATCACCACTAGCATTGGAACACATCAACAGAGTAAGCCTGTCTTTCATAGGCTTATGTCCTGGGAGTGCCTTTTCCTCCTGAGTAATGTAGGTCCTGCTTGGCATTTTCTTCCAAAACAGGCCTGTTTCATCACAATTAAACACTTGTTCAGGTTTCAGTCCTTCACTGTCTATGTACTCCTTGAATTCCTGCACATATTTTTCAGCTGCTTTGTGGTCCGAACTGGCAGCTTCACCATGCCTTATCACACTATGTATGCCACTTACGCTTCTTAAATCTCTCAAACCAACCTTTGCTGGCCTTAAATTCACTCACATCATCACTAGTTGCAGGCATTTTTTTTAATTAAATCCTGATGCAACTTTTCACTTATGATCACCTGAGAGATGCTATCTCCTGCTATCTGTTTTTCATTTATCCATACCAATAAGAGTCTCTCAACATCTTCCATCACTTGCGATCTCTGTTTCGAAAACACAGTTGAACCTTTGGCAAGAACAGCTTCCTTGATTGCCGTTTTGTTGCCCACAATAGTAGCGATGGTTGATTGTGGTTTATTATACAACCTGGCCAGCTCGGAGACACGCACTCCACTTTCATACTTATCAATGATGTCTTTCTTCATCTCTATAGTAATTCTCACCCTTATTGCTGGAGGGTTGGCACTAGAAGCTTTCTTGGGGCCCATGGTCACTTATTTTGCAGATAAAATCACCAAAAACACTGTAATAATACGAAATGTTCTGATTGTATGCTTCTTGGATATTACCGCGGAGGCTGGCTGGTAAACAATGCCACCGGCGGAACATGTGAGGCTGGCTCAGGCCGCACATTAGACGTGTCTCGGACGAACAGCGTTGAGCGGGTTTTTTAGCGGTATGCGAGGCAAAATCTTAGCGATAAAAATGTATCGGTATGCGGATTTAACGTTATGTAAGGCCAACGGTATGCGGGGGTCCACTGTAATTGCAAAGTACGAAAGTGGAGTGCGTGTTTTGGAGCTGGCCAGGTTATATACAAAACCCCAAGCAACCATCTCTACTATAGTGACCAGGAAAATGGCAATCAAGGAAGCTGTTGTTGCAAAAGGTGCAACTGTGATTACAAAACAGCGACCGCAAGTGTTAGATGTTGAGAGACTGTTATTGGTGTGGATAAATGAAAAACAGATAGCAGGAGATAGCATCTCTCAAGTGATCATTTGTGAAAAGGCTAGGCAGTTACATGACGATTTGGTAAAGAAATTGCCTGCAACTAGTGGTGCTGTGAGTGAATTTAAGGCCAGCAAAGGTTGGTTTGAAAGATTTAAGAATCGTAATGGCATACATAGTGTGATTAGGCATGGTGAGGCTGCCAGTGGCTCTCAAGCTGGTCCTAGTGGCATTAAAAGAAGAAGGGAAGTAACCCTGGAAAAGGACTTGCTACCTCAAGTCCTATTGGAAGGGGATTCCCCTTCTAAACATTAACAACTTCGACACTCTCCCCTCCTCCCATCCCATCAATCATTACCAGATCTTCATTAAAGGTAAGTGTCATGTATTCTCTTGTTAGTAGAGTACTACAAACTGTGCATGTCTTCTTCAGTTTGTGCGCATTAAACTTAATACAGCAGACCCTCGTCCAACGATGGCATCGATTAACGATAAATCTGACCAGCAATACATTTTAACGCAAAAATTTTGCTTCGACTAGCGCTAAAAATCTCGACCAGCACTATTCATTCTGTCTGAGACGCATCCACTTCTGGCCAGTGTTTACAAGCCAGCCAGCCACCGCAGTCACTGCCAAGCATACAATCGGAACATTTCATATTATCACAGCCTTTTTAGTGATTGCACCTGCAAAATAAGTCACCATGGGCCCCATGAAAGCTTCTAGTGCCAACCCTACAGCTAAAAGGGTGAGAATTACTATGGATATGAAGAAAGAGATCATTGCTAAGTATGAAAGTGGAGTGCGTGTCTCCGAGCTGGCCAGGTTGTACACAAAACCCCAATCAACCATCGCTACTATTGTGGCCAAGAAAATGGCAATCAAGGAAGCTGTTCTTGCCAAAGGTGCAACTATGTTTTTGAAACTGAGATCGCAAGTGATTTGAAGATGTTGAGAGACTGTTATTGGTGTGGATAAACGAAAAACAGATAGCAGGAGATAGCATCTCTCAAGCGATCATATGTTAAAAGGCTAGGAAGTTGCATGAGGATTTAATTAGAAAAATGCCAGCAACTAGTGGTGATGTGAGTGGATTTAAGGCCAGCAAAGGTTGGTTTGAGAGATTTAAGAATCGTAGTGGCATACATAGTGTGATAAGGCATGGTGAGGCTGCCAGTTTGGACCAAAAAGCAGCTGAAAAATATGTGCAGGAATTCAAGGAGTACATAGACAGTGAAGAATTGAAACCTGAACAAGTGTTTAATTGTGACACTGACAATGTTGTGAAACACTTTAGGAATGTCATAAAGGAACGGGAGATACAGGCCTCTATGGACAGATATGCTGTGCGACAGAGGTCCAGTGATGCTCAAGCTGGTCCTAGTGGCATTAAAAGAAGAAGGGAAGTAACTCCGAAAAAGGACTTGCCACCTCAAGTCCTAATGGAAGGGGATTCCCCTTCTAAACACTAACACCATCAACACTCTCCCCTCCTCCCATTCCATCAGTCATCACCAGATCTTCAATAAAGGTAAGTGTCATGTAACTGTGCATGTCTTCTTCAGTTTGTGTGTATTAAAATTAATATTTCATGTGGTAAAAATTTTTTTTTCAATACTTTTGGGTGTCTTGCATGGATTATTTGATTTCCATTATTTCTTATGGGGAAAATTAACACGACTAACGATAATTTTGATTAACGATGAGCTCTCAGGAACGGATTAATATCGCTGGTCGAGGGTCCACTGTATTTCATGTGGTAAATTTTTTTTTCATACTTACGGGGGTCTTGCACGGATTAATTTGATTTCCATTATTTCTTATGGGGAAAATTGATTCGCTTTCCGATATTTTTGGTTTATAAGCTCTCGGGAACGGATTAATATCGTTAACCGGGGGTCCACTTTACGGTGGAACCTCAGTTGTCAAACTTAATTCATTCCATATGTTGGTTTGACGACCAAAATTGTCGACAACCAAACCAATTTTTCCCATAAAGAATAATGAATTAATCCATTCCAGACCAAAAATAGCAGCATAATAATTTATTAGTAATAATGTACTAACTACTACATAAAACATTGTATAAAATTATAAAGCACACAGAAGCTGTAAAAAATTAATATTAAATGAAAATTTAACTGCCTCTTACCTATCAAAGGAGAGATAATGGCAAAATTCTAGTGGCTTCAGATCTTGCAGGAGAAAGCTGGTAGGCCCACATGTGAGAGAATGGGTGTGCATGGTCAGTGTGCAAAGTATAAAAAATCCTGCAGTATGCAGTACATAATGAGAAAAAATCTGCGACCATGTTTTTTGTTAAAACAGCAACTTTGCGGTGTATTTTAGTATGGTATTTATGGTTGTATTCTCATATTATTGGTCTCATTTGATAGAATGAAAGATATGTTACAGAAATATAGATGATTTTCAATGGTATAAAGACTAAAGGTAGCTTGAAATTGAGCTCAAAGTAGCAGAAATGTTCAGTTTTTGCTGATGTTTAAGAGTAAACAAATCACGTTATGCGTCCAATACACATTTACTGGTCGGTCTGATATGCATTCATGAATGTGCTGACATTATTTATACAATTATTACAATTATGCAGTAGTCTGAATAACAGTAAATCATCTATTATTTTGTGTGAACAAAAATTCAAAATGAAAATCAAGCGTAATATAAGAGGGTCTGGAGATGTGACTAATGAACAGATAAAATGTTATTTTAGTGCCAGAAATGTCTGCATTGTTTATGCTGGACCCTATTTTGAAATTGGTCTTTCTTGAATTTTTTTGTGAAATTGGCCAAATTAGTAATTTCAGATCACTTTATTGGGTAGTTGAAATAAGTAAATAGGCAGTTTCTTGTACTCAGTCGATAGAATAAAAGAAGTTCTAGCAAAATAGCTATGAGTTTGGTCTAATGGAATTGACCCAAAGTGGGCAAAATCGCCGATATGTAAATATTGCTGAGACCACTAACTTTGCTATAGCATAATTATGTAAGTTTTACATCAAATTTCGTACTTTTGGTTTCATTACCTTCACAAGATACACAGCAAGAACTCAAGAGATGTTTGCAGCATGTGTGTTAGTCGCTATACTGACTACTGAGACCCATGCTGTGGACTGGTGTTCACATGATCCAAGCATTGTCGGTTGACAATCAAAACCATGTATGAAAGCCAGGACCAAATTCCTTGTTTGAAAAGCAACTTGTTCGACAACTAGTTCATTTGACAACCGAGTATTTACTTTTTTGTGCCATATTAAATTTTTTTGTTTTTTTTTTACAGATTCCAGTTAAGTTGACTCTGCATCATCAGTCAGTTGATATAACAGAGGCAAGATCATCTGTATTCACAGAGCAGGAGAGTTACTGGCAACTTCCTCTGTATGACACAGGACTGGTGACAGATATCATTGTCAGTTCGGGAGGCACTCAAGATCCTCTTGATGACTGCATACATGTTGCCACTGTAGCTCCAGCTGCTGTTTATTCTTTTGTACCTAGAGGAAGAGACACTCCTCTAAAATATATACTTCTTCAGGATGTACTTCCACGTTATCGTTCTGCTTACCAGCCACGGTTACGACTGGCTAACTTATCGAGCAGAAAGCTGCTTATCCATGAAGAGGTTTCAAACACACTCTTAAATGTAGACATGAACACTGGTGCAGTATCTTGCATGCAACTTAATTCTAGGTTTGAAATTGCAGCAGAGTTACTGATGAAAAGGCTGGGATCAGGGGGAAGAAGTGAAATCTTTTTCCGCATGTGTAAAAGTAAAGTTGAACAAGGGCAACTTGCATTGTGGGAAGTTGGTGGTAAACGCATACTTTTCATAGACATCCACAAAGAGATGAGCCGCTTGGTTACTTTGCCATTTATTCTTTATTCTCTACATCTTTTAGAGGGAAGATATCAGTGGTTTGCTATTGATGAGGAAGGTAATAAGTGGTTGCTGAAAGATAACATGTACAATTTTGTGCTTCACCCAGTAACCCAGACACCAGTTGAACAAGATTGTAGCCATATGTTAGTATCTTGCATTTCTCCACATACCTTAAGTGACTTTGTGTTGTCTTCAGCACTTAAAGAAAAGATTAGTGCTTCCACTCATCTTTTAGCTCCATATAATGCTTTGGCTGCTGTAGCTGTAGGTTTCCCAGAGCTTGATGCAAGTGAAAATGAAGTTTATGTATGGGAGCGTGATAACATTTCACTGAAGGCCTTTTCTTCAGTTAGTGACCCGGTTAGCTCTACTGTTGTGCTAAGTGATGCTGGGCAAATTGTAAGAGTTGTTGATCAGGCTCCTAGAAATGCATTCGAATATGATGTTTCACCTTCAGGAGCTAATATATTTTTAGAAGTAACAGATTTAGTGAATCATAGCTTAAGCTACATTCCTGTTCCCCAGGCCTCTCAGTCTTCTCCATACTGGGCCTGGTCTGTGGCAGCTCGCACATCTCCACTCTTTATGGCTGCAACAAGTGGTCAGGGTTTGGCTACAGTAGACTCTGCAGGAGTTGTACGTCTCTGGCAAACGGGAAGTGTTGGTTTACAGAAAGCTCTAGCAGATTGGCGTAAAATGATTGGTGATGACACTGAACGTCTTAGATTAGAGGTTGACCGCTTCAGTGGTGAGGATGTCACTGAACCTAAACATGGACAGGAGGATCCTGACAATAATCCCCATATAGGAGGAAATACTTGGGCAGGTGGGACAGGTGGCCGTGATACAGCTGGTCTCGGTGGTAAAGGAGGACCATATCGGTTAGATGCTGGTCATGATGTTCATCAGTTATCTGAAGCCGAAAAGGATGCCGTCCCTGCTGAAGTGAGGCGTGCTGCCCGTGAAATGGCACAAAAAGCCTTCAAAGAACGCTTGAGAGAAATTAGAATGAGTGAATATGATGCCTCTCTCTATGAGAAGCTTGCTGGTGGTGTGCAACAACAAGTACATGCTTTACGCACTATTATTAACTCCCTACAGGCTAAAGGAAAGGAACGGCAGTGGCTTCGGCATCGCACCTCTGGTGAATTAGATGACACAAAATTAATTGAAGGCTTGGCAGGAGAAAGAAATATATATCGGCAAAGGCATGAAGAGGAACCAGAGATTGGGGCACCACAGAGACATCCCAAACGACTTCGCTTAGTTGTTGATGTGTCTGGATCAATGTACCGTTTTAATGGTCATGACGGTCGTCTGGAACGTGAACTTGAAGCCACACTTATGGTTATGGAAGCATTTGAGGGGTTTGAGAATAAATTTAAGTATGATATTTACGGACATTCTGGTGAAGAAGCTGCTGTTCCATTAGTAGAATGTGATAATGTGCCCCATAACAACAAAGAGCGTTTGGATGTACTGAAAACAATGCAGGCTCATTCACAGTTTTGTCTCAGTGGAGATCATACTTTGGAAGCTGCAGTTAAAGCTGTGAAGGACATAGCAACTGAAGAATGTGATGAAAGATTTGTAATTCTACTGTCTGATGCAAATTTTGATCGGTATGGAATCAGACCAAGTCATTTTGCTAAAGCACTTACTGCTGAGAACACAGTAAATACTTTTGCAATATTTATTGGATCATTAGGTGACCAAGCAGACAGGTTAACAAAGGTTCTTCCTGCTGGACATTCATTTGTTTGTCTTGATTTAAAGAAGCTTCCACAAATCTTGCAACAAATATTTACCTCAGCTATGCTAAAATAATTGTCAAGTATGATACAAGCACATTGTTTTTAATATAATAATGCAGTATGATAATTTATATAATACAGTGGACCCCCGCATAACGATGGCATCACATAGCGATTATTTCGCATACCGCTTACTTTAATTGCAAAAATTTTGCCTCACATACCGCTTAAAAACCCGCTTACCGATTTTCCTCCGAGATGCGTCCAATGTGCGGCCTGAGCCACGCTCACATGTTCCGCCGGTGGCATTGTTTACCAGCCAGCCTCCGCGGTAACATCCAAGCATACAATCGGAATATTTCGTATTATTACAGTGTTTTCGGTGCTTTTTCTGGAAAATAAGTGACCATGGGCCCCAAGAAAGCTTCTAGTGCCAACCCTACAGCAATAAGGGTGAGAATTACAATAGAGAAGAAGAAAAAGATCATTGATAAGTATCGCTACTATTGGTGGTACAGCTGCTGCTGCTGCACTGTCAGCTGCTGCTGCTGCACTGTCAGCTGCTGCTGCTGCTGTAGCATCGTCTGCTGCTGCTGTAGCATTGTCTGCTGCTGCTGCTGCAGCATCGTCTGCTGCTGCTGTAGCATCGTCTGCTGCAGCTGTAGCATTGTCTGCTGCTGCTGCTGCTGCTGTAGCATCGTCTGCTGCTGCTGTAGCATTGTTGCTGCTGTACCACCGTCTGTTGCTGCTGTACCACCGTCAGCTGCTGCTGCTGCTGTAGCACCGTTGTTGGTGTGGCTTATTGAGAATACCAAGAAACAATTAACCCCAGAGGATTTGCCACCCAGGATAACCCAAAAAAGTCAGTGTCATTGAAGACTGTCTAACTTATTTCCATTGGGGTCCTTAATCTTGTCTCCCAGGATGCAACCCACACCAGTCGACTAACACCCAGGTGAACAGGGAAAAAATGCCTGGAACTAGTGCTCATATTGGTGAATTTAAAGCCAGCAAAGGTTGGTTTGAGAGATTTAAGAATCGTAGTGGCATACACAGTGTGATAAGGCCTGTTCTGGAAGAAAATGCCAAACAGGACCTACAGAACTCAGGAGGAAAAGGCACTCCCAGGACAGTGTCTCATCAGTCATTGCTGCATCTTCAATAAAGGTAAGTGTCATTTTTTTCTTCATTTAGTAGAGTAGTACATGCACAATATATACTGTGCATGTACTACTCTACTATTGTGCATGTATCCTTCTCTTTGTGTGTGGGAAAATGTATATTTCATGTGGTAAAATTTTTTTTTTCATACTTTTGGGTGTCTTGCACGGATTAATTTTATTTCCATTATTTCTTATGGGGAAAATTCATTCACATAACGATTATTTCGCATAACAATTACCCCTCTTGCACGGATTAAAATCGTTAACCGGGGGTCCACTGTAATGCAGTATGATAATTCACTGCTAACTACTGGTACCATAAAAATTCATATTATGTATTTAAATTATGTAATTAAACTGAATTAGATAACAGGATTGTTGATTTCTGTCCCCTTTGAAAGAGTATCACTGGGAAGAGTGCATTGTATATGTCTATTCTTATTTATGGATCAGTTCTTTGGCTGTACAGTACATCCCTTGATTCATTTCCCTCTCCTGTACATTTACCTTAATGCCTTACTTTTTCCCTCCTGCCTTGGGAAGTCCCAATGATTCAAGTTTGCTCCTTTTTCCTTCCATTCCCAATGGCTCACATGTTTGCTAAGAAATCAGTTTCACTTTCACAAACACTTGCCCATGTACCAAGAGATGGGATAGGGATTGATGCTGCTTTTCCAGATAGACTAATCCAAGGTTAATGAGACACTTGTGCAACATTTGGGTATCTTAATTGTGGAAATGTTTTGCCAGCCACTGGCTTCCTCAGTCCAATACAAAGAAGAATGGTGGAGGATGAGGAGTTTGAGGTAATCAGTCCCTCAACCTTGAATTGATGTGTTCAGTCCATCTATCTTGATAAAAGTACAGCACATGCATGGAGAAGCTGTATGACCCTTGTGGGTTTAATGCTTGGTTTTGATTATAATAATAATAATCGTGTATGTAGAAGAGGTTTATATTACTGCAGACAGGTGAGGCAAAGCAGTAGCAGGCAATATCACTAGATGTGTTCACATCAACTCCAGACTGAGGGACTGGTTACCTCAAACTGCTCGTCTTCCACCATTCTTCTCTTTATTGGACTGAGGAAGCCCCTGGCTGTCAAATTGTGTCCACAATAAAGATACCTAATGTTCCACAAGTGTCTCATTAACGAACTTGTTGATTTTCTGAGCCATTTATATAATGTCATGGTGGCCCGGTGGTCTGGTGGCTAAAACTCCCGCTTCACACACGGAGGGCCCGGGTTCGATTCCCGGCGGGTGGAAATTCCGACACGTTTCCTTACACCTATTGTCCTGTTCACCTAGCAGCAAATAGGTACCTGGGTGTTAGTCGACTGGTGTGGGTCGCATCCTGGGGGACAAGATTAAGGACCCCAATGGAAATAAGTTAGACAGTCCTCGATGACGCACTGACTTTCTTGGGTTATCCTGGGTGGCTAACCCTCCGGGGTTAAAAATCCGAACGAAATCTTATCTTATCTTATTAGTCAGATGTTTACTGCTGAGTTATATACTCTCCCACCTTCATGGTTACACTGAAAAGAAAGAGGATAAGAGAATAAATAAGTATACAAGATGTGAAACAGGGCATAATGACAGCAGTTTGTTGGACTACATATTGGCAGATAAAAGACTGTTGGGTAGACTTTAGGATGTATATGTTTATAGAGGGGCCACAGATGTATCAGATCACTTTTTAGTTGTGGCTACAGTGAGTAAATGGTACATGGGATACAAGGAAAATGGAAGCAGCAAGTAAGAGAGAGGTGAAGATTTATAAACTAAAGGAGGAAGCTCTTAGGGTAAGATATAAACAACTATTGGAGGACAGATGGGCTAGTGTGAGTAGAGGCAAAGGGGTAGAAAATGTATGGGGTAAGTTTAAGAATATAGTGTTTGAGTGTTCAGCAGAAGTTTGTGGTTAAGAGAGTGGTGAAGCAATGTAAAGAGGGAGCAAATGAGAGAGTGGGCGAGATGCTATCAAGAAATTTTGTTGAAAATAAGAAAGAGTTTTGGACTTGAGAAAGCCTAGAGAACGAATGGATTTGTTAGTTAAAAATACAGTAGGAGAGGAGAGTTATTAAACGGAGCATTAGAGGTATCAGTAAGATGGAGGGAATATTTTGAGGAATTGTTAAATGTTGATGAAGATAGGGAAGCTGTGATTTCATGTAATACGTTTAATTTAGTTTAATATGTTCATTATGCACCCCATACCCATCCTGTGGGCAGCAGTCAAAAGATTACAGAGGCACCTAATGGGTCCATGGACTGGGCCCCAAAGTTTTGATAGCTGAGCAAGTTACAAAGGTAATGAACTCCAGGTAGATCTGGTCACAATCATAACAATTTACGAAGGTATTTACAGATTACAGAGGTACATAATGGGTCTAGGGACTGGACCCCAAAGTTTTGATAGCTGAACAAGGTACAAAAGTAATAAACTCACAAGTTACAAATGTAATGAATCATATAAGTCAGTAAATTTACTTACTTAGGTTTATACATGGCTACAATCATAAACAAATTATAGAGTAATGAGCAATTCACACATCCACACCTGGTCACGACTATAATGAGGTATTGGTGCAAATATTAATTGTTGGATATATCTTTCTCTCTTGCACACACACACACATGGGGCCAGGAGCTGTGAATCGACCTCTGCAACCATAACTAGATGAGTACACACACACACACGCACACATAGGTGAGTACACACACACACACAAATAGGCGAGTACACACACACACACACACACACACACACAAAGACTGCAAACCTCGCTCAAGGAGAAAGATCTTAAGGTGACCATAACACCAAGCATGTCTCCGTAGGCACACATCAACCAGATAACTGCTGCAGCATATGGGCGCCTGGCAAACCTGAGAATAGCATTCTGATACCTTCGTAAGGAATCGTTCAAGACACTGTACTCTGTGTACATCAGGCCCATACTGGAGTATGCAGCACCAGTTTGCAACCCACACCTGGTCAAGCACATCAAGAAATTAGAGAAAGTGCAAAGGTTTGCAACATGGCTAGTTCCGGAGCTCAGGGGTATGTCCTACGAAGAAATGTTGAGAGAAATCGGACTGACAACATTGGAGGACAGGAGGGTCAGGGAGACATGATAATGACATACAAAATACTGTGGGGAATAGATAAGGTGGACAGAGACAGGTTATTCCATAGAGGGGACACAGAAACAAGGGGTCACAATTGGAAGCTGAAGACTCAGACGAATCAGAGGGATGTTACCTGGAGTTTACCTGGAGAGAGTTCCGGGGGTCAACGCCCCCGCGGCCCGGTCTGAGACCAGGCCTCCTGGTGGATCAGAGCCTGATCAACCAGGCTGTTGCTGCTGGCTGCACGCAAACCAACGTACGAGCCACAGCCCGGCTGATCCGGAACTGACTTTAGGTGCTTGTCCAGTGCCAGCTTGAAGACTGCCAGGGGTCTGTTGGTAATCCCCCTTATGTGTGCTGGGAGGCAGTTGAACAGTCTCGGGCCCCTGACACTTATTGTATGGTCTCTTAACGTGCTAGTGACACCCCTGCTTTTCATTGGGGGGATGGTGCATCGTCTGCCAAGTCTTTTGCTTTCGTAGTGAGTGATTTTCGTGTGCAAGTTCGGTACTAGTCCCTCTAGGATTTTCCAGGTGTATATAATCATGTATCTTTCCCTCCTGCATTCCAGGGAATACAGGTTTAGGAACCTCAAGCGCTCCCAATAATTGAGGTGTTTTATCTCCGTTATGCGCGCCGTGAAAGTTCTCTGTACATTTTCTAGGTCGGCAATTTCACCTGCCTTGAAAGGTGCTGTTAGTGTGCAGCAATATTCCAGCCTAGATAGAACAAGTGACCTGAAGAGTGTCATCATGGGCTTGGCCTCCCTAGTTTTGAAGGTTCTCATTATCCATCCTGTCATTTTTCTAGCAGATGCGATTGATACAATGTTATGGTCCTTGAAGGTGAGATCCTCCGACATGATCACTCCCAGGTCTTTGACGTTGGTGTTTCGCTCTATTTTGTGGCCAGAATTTGTTTTGTACTCTGATGAAGATTTAATTTCCTCATGTTTACCATATCTGAGTAATTGAAATTTCTCATCGTTGAACTTCATATTGTTTTCTGCAGCCCACTGAAAGATTTGGTTGATGTCTGCCTGGAGCTTTGCAGTGTCTGCAATGGAAGACACTGTCATGCAGATTCGGGTGTCATCTGCAAAGGAAGACACGGTGCTGTGGCTGACATCCTTGTCTATGTCGGATATAAGGATGAGGAACAAGATGGGAGCGAGTACTGTGCCTTGTGGAACAGAGCTTTTCACCGTAGCTGCCTCGGACTTTACTCTGTTGACGACTACTCTCTGTGTTCTGTTAGTGAGGAAATTATAGATCCATCGACCGACTTTTCCTGTTATTCCTTTAGCACGCATTTTGTGCGCTATTACGCCATGGTCACACTTGTTGAAGGCTTTTGCAAAGTCTGTATATATTACATCTGCATTCTTTTTGTCTTCTAGTGCATTTAGGACCTTGTCGTAGTGGTCCAATAGTTGAGACAGACAGGAGCGACCTGTTCTAAACCCATGTTGCCCTGGGTTGTGTAACTGATGGGTTTCTAGATGCGTGGTGATCTTGCTTCTTAGGACCCTTTCAAATGTTTTTATGATATGGGATGTTAGTGCTATTGGTCTGTAGTTCTTTGCTGTTGCTTTACTGCCCCCTTTGTGGAGTGGGGCTATGTCTGTTGTTTTTAGTAACTGTGGGACGACCCCCGTGTCCATGCTCCCTCTCCATAGGATGGAAAAGGCTCGTGATAGGGGCTTCTTGCAGTTCTTGATGAACACAGAGTTCCATGAGTCTGGCCCTGGGGCAGAGTGCATGGGCATGTCATTTATCGCCTGTTCGAAGTCATTTGGCGTCAGGATAACATCGGATAGGCTTGTGTTAATCAAATTTTGTGGCTCTCTCATAAAAAATTCATTTTGATCTTCGACTCTCAGTCTGGTTAGCGGCTTGCTAAAAACTGAGTCATATTGGGACTTGAGTAGCTCACTCATTTCCTTGCTGTCATCTGTGTAGGACCCATCTTGTTTAAGTAGGGGCCCAATACTGGACGTTGTTCTCGATTTTGATTTGGCATAGGAGAAGAAATACTTTGGGTTTCTTTCGATTTCATTTATGGCTTTTAGTTCTTCCCGCGATTCCTGACTCCTAAAGGATTCTTTTAGCTTAAGTTCGATGCTTGCTATTTCTCTGACCAGTGTCTCCCTACGCATTTCAGATATATTGACCTCTTTTAGCCGCTCTGTTATTCTTTTCCGTCGCCTGTAAAGGAGCGCCTGTCTCTTTCTGTT